CCCCCCCCCCGGTCCCTCTCTGACTGGCAGCTCTCCAGCCACTCCTCCACACTTGTCCCCTCCACGGCGCTAATTTGGGGTCACCCAGAAGTGGGGACCTCCATGGCCCTAAGCACTGCCCCACTTGACACCTGGAACCCCAACTACTCTGAGCTGTGGCTCAGCCCCCTGGTGCAACCCCTCACCTGCAGCTTCTCGAAGACCTTCTTCTTCGGCTTGAGCTCGTCGTCGGGCTCGCCACCCTCGTAGCCCTCCACAAAGACACGCTCCCCGGCGCAGCACCCGGCCGGCGGGTCCAGGGGCTCCACCTGCCGTGGCTCCCCGAGGCTGCAGCGGCGTGTGGAGGAAGCAGAGTCACCCCAAGGTGGTACCCACACCCCCCTCAGCACCACCAAGCTCTGGGGCAGGAGAGGGGGGTCCAGAGCCCCAGGGCAGGTACAGCCCCAGTAGCCCCCTCCCTCACCTGGAGGCACACAGCACCATGCCCTGTGACTCCACACCCCTCATCTTCTGGGGCTTGAGATTGCAAAGCAGCACCACCAGCCTGTCCTGCAGCTGCTCCTTGGGGACGAACTGCACCAGGCCACTGACCACGGTGCGGGGCTCAGGCTCGCCCACGTCGATCTTCTCCACATAGAGGCTGTCAGCATCCGGGTGCTGCCAAGCAGAGGAAGCTGAGGAGCAGGGAAGGGGACCGGGGTGGCAGAGAAGAAGGGGGCAGACCCCCCCAGCATGCAACGAGTGTCCCTGTCCCCACAGGGAAAAGTTGCTCCCCTCTCCCCGTTTTGTACCTTTTCCACACTGATCACTTTGCCAACACGGATGTCCAGCCGGGATGGGACCACGGTCTCTGGCTCTGAGTTCTTGGTGCCCTTCTCTGCAGGCTCTGTGGTGAAAAAGGAACAGTCATGCCACTCAGCATGAACCCAGGGAGCTGGCCAAGCCTTGGGGAGCTCACAGTGACCCCCAAATGCCAGTCCTGGGGCCTGCTGAATTCCCTGTTTGTCTCTACACTGGAGAGCACAGTCCCTCCTCCACTCTGCTGGCCTCTCAAGCACCAGTGAAGCGTAGTGGCATCCATCTTCTCCAGGGCAGGCTAACAGCCCTGGCGTTGGCCTTTCCTCACCCTTCCCAATGCTCCCCAGGGCTGCTCCCAAGAGTTTCAGAACTTCTCTCTAACCTCAGCTCCTGGAGGGATTCTCTCCCACCCAGCCCCACTTCCCCGAGCTCCCAGCACCTCCTTACTGGCTTTGGAGGGGCTGGGATACGCTGCGTTGGTCAGCTTCTTCAGTTCCGGGCTATTGAATTTCTCTCTGATGGGGTCAAGCAGTTTGTTCAAGGCCACTTCCACCGAGTTCTTCAGGTCTCCGGGATGCACAACCTGTATCACGACAAACAGACGCGTTCCTGCGTCGTCTCCTCCAGGCCAGAGGTAGGAACTGGAGACCAAGCAGGGAAGGGAGGTGAACCCCAACCCTCCAATTTCCCCTCAGCCATCAGAGCTCTCTTCTGGACGCTGTTACTTACAGCCTCAGCTGGGAACAGCTGAAAACAGTTAAACTGCTGCTCTGTTCCAGGACGTGGCTGACATAGTCCTGTCCTGCACCAGGACAGCTGGTGCCCCACATCCTTCACCCATCCTCTCACCTTTGGGCTCTCCTGGTGGGGAGCACCCTGCCACCCTACAGCCGCTGGGCCACGCTGTGCTCCACACCTCGTCCCAGAGCAGATTTCCACCTCCTGCTGCTGCTCAGAGCCCTCCCCCAGTGCTCTCAGGAGCCTCCAGGACAGGGTTCAGTCCCTCCCGGCACTAACCTGCTCAGCAAAGTCCTTCTCCAGGGCGTCATAGGCTGTGTAGGTTTTGTTGCCTCCCCACTTTTCCTCTCGCAGAATCACAAACTCTGCAACACACCGATTTTAAGGCTCAAATTAACTCAAGCAAAGACACACCTGCTGCTCAGCAATATAAACCACCCACCCCACTTTGCCCAAGAGCTGAGGGGGACCACAGCAGGGGCTTGGGAGGGGGCACTGAGGGGCAGCCCGCTTCAGGGGACACCCACTCCCATCCCCTCCTCTTATCCACAGGAAAAAACGAGACCCAGCGCCCGAGCGTGGCGAGCCCCTCACCTGACTTGAGGGGAAAGAGGACGTGCTTGATGAAGGACAGGACACCGTTGTTCTCCACGTTCCCTGGCTCACAGAAAGCCTTCTTCAACTTCTTCTTCACATCCTCCTTGCGGTCCAGAAGATCAATCTTTGAGTCCTGCAGGAAGACATTTCTGCAGCCCTTTACCCAAACTCTTGCTCAAAAGATACAATTCATGATGGAGTTGCTGCAACTTCTTCTTAGACCCCAGTGTGAGCAGAGAGAAGTCACCTTCTCTTGGGGTGCAGCCTCTCTGCCCCCAGCCATTAAGCCATCCCCCTGCAGAGCCCCTGACCACAGCCACCGTTCAAGGACCAACCTCTTCCGACGAGCTCATTTTGCTGCCTGTCAGGCCAGGAACCATGGGGTTCATCAAATGGACGCGCTTGGCATAGCCCAGGGAAGGAAGGTACTAGGAAAAAGTAAGGAGGCAAGTCATGGACAATCTTCTTCTGAAGATCAGCTTTAACTCACAATCCCTGTTTGCTCCTGGCTCCAGATTAACTTGGGGACCCAGCATGACAGGACTCAGAAAGCTATTGTGAGTTCACAAGGCACGGAAAGGCACAGCCAGGGATGCCTGGCAGCACACCGGGGCCCTGTGGACCACAAGAGCAGCAGCAAAGAGCACTGCAGTGCCAACCGAAATCCCAGACACCCTTCTCCCAATGGATTAGTGAGTGTTTGAGCCCTGCCCCAGGCACCAGCACCGCAGAAGGCTCAGAAACCTCGCCCATTCCTGACCTTCTCTGCAAAGGTGAATATCTTCCTCTGATCGACTCCTCCAAACTGTGCGTCGACCTTGAGGTACTCCTCGTCCAGGGCCTGCGGAGGGACACACACAGCCTTGAGGCTGGGCACAAGACTCCACCTTCAGCTCTGCTCAGCCTTCAGAGATCCTGCCTGTCCCTCAGGACATGCCCAGCCTCTGCCAGGCACTCCCGCCCTGGGAAGGATGGAGCTCTCCGCACTGCCCGCTGTCCTGCAGCTGCCCGGAGTCACTGTAAAAGCAGCTCCGTGCTCGGGTTCTGCTTTATGCTGCTGCCAGGTGTAATACTGGGGTGGAGTACAACGACCTTGGCATTCAGCCTCACGTGTCCCTGCGGTCCTGGCTTTGCCCAGCACCTCCCTGGCCAAGAGGCTCTGCTGACCCGCCTCACCACGCACCTGCAGGCCGGGGTAGAGCAAACCACTCAGCAAGGGATGCTCCACCTGCTTCACCACCTCTGCTCCCGCCTTCTTCGCGTCGTGCTGCGTCACCACAGACGAGAGGCGGTACACGTCCAGCGTGTACTCCCTGCGGGGAGGGACAGCACTGTCACCACTGGCCAAGGGGACATCTTTTAGAGCTGCTTCACACAAATGCTGGTTCTGGCCACATCAAGAGGAGCCAAGGCCTGGAGGCACCTTTATTTTGTTCCCTGAATGACAGTGCCTGGGAGCAGGCTCAGGAACAGGGCAAGCTCAGGAACAGCAGAGCCCTGGGTCAGGTTTTCCCTTCCCAAAAGGACCAGGCGCATCAGGACTCACTTGCTGAGCTGGTAGTCAGTGCCCCGGACGAACTTCAGCTTTTCCAGGGGCACCCCAATGCTCTCCAGCATGGCTTTGATCACGTTCTCGTAATAGCGGGTGCGCAACTCCAGCAGCTCCCAGGGGGCCTTCATGTTGTCTAGGTAAGCATGGAGGTCAGCAAAGAGTATCGTCACCTGGTGCGGAGGGGGGGCAGAGTCAGGGCCAGACGAGTAAGGGGAACTGCACATTCCCATCTGTCAGCACGGTGACAGAGTCCCGCAGGGTCCGAGCTCCCAGCCTGGCCCCGTACCTCACACCCTGCCTTCAGGAAGTCTGCGATCTTGGACATGGGCACGAAGTAGGCCACGTGCGGCTTGCCTGTGGTGGCGGTCCCCCAGTAGATCTTCAACTCTCGCTCCTTCAGGATAGCCATGAGCTTATCCTCCCCCAGCACCTCCTGTGGAGGGCCAAGACACACATCTGGCACAGCTGAGCCTCCCCGGGAACACGCGGGGGTGGCTCCGGGAGGACGCGCGCAGGACAACGGCCTGCCGAATAGCTGAGCCCAAAGCCGCGCCCCGGCTTCGGCCCACCCTGCCTGCAGCACGTCCCCGGGGCTCCTGCCGGGCCCAGAGACTGATCCGGGCCCCCTCCGCTACAACCAGGGCCTGCTCCGGCCCCGATCCTCCCTCCCGGCCTGCCCCGAACCGCCCCCCCAGTACCTGCAGGTTGCGGGTGATGAGGTGATACTTCTCCTGCGGGCCGGGCGCGGGCTCCATGGCGGCGGCTGCAGAGAACGAGACAGCGTTACCGGAGCCACCAGCCCCCCGGGAACCCCCCGGGAACCCCCCGAGGCCCTG